AAAGTACAGTAGTACCATTGCCAATAGTGGGATAGTTAGTGGGCTAAAACTGTACATTAGTAGTTGAGGTAGCACGTTGAAAGGCAGATAGTTAAAGTGTTTATATGTTGTATTGACTTCAAAGTGGGGCGCACTGGTAGACTGACTGACTGACAGAATGACACACTGACAGTTTCCGTGATTATGTACAGCATACCATACCATGACTTAGTCATACCAAACATTAGAAAACAACACCAACATTGGTCCACAGGGGGAGCCACAGCGATCGGTCGCATTTTAGCCATTTTGAAGCATTTTTCTGTTGTTATAGCGCCACCCAGTTGCCAATTAGAGTTAAATTTCTCCAGTCACCTTGAGGCGTCCTGTTCTACATATCTACCAAGTTTAGTAAAAATCCATATGGCGGTTAGGCCTAGATAAGAAATGAGCTCTCTAGCGCCCCCATTTTGTTTGATGGGGTCAATAATGGAGGGGTCCCCTCAGATTATGTGTGGTCATATGCCTACAAAGTTGCGTGGTGATGGGTGAAACCCTTGAGATGTTATACACCTTTATGTGATGAGCCACGCCCTCCGCAATATTCATTGCCTTATAGAAGCTCAGTTTTAGTAAGTTTTCCAACTTTTGCCAAGAGGGAACTTTAGATATTGGTCCCTAGATTATGTTCACCCAGTTTCATGCAGATCGCTCAAACTTCCTAGGAAGAGATCCATTTGAAGTGTTTTTCAAAAAATTCAAAATGGAGGAAAATCTATATAAGCGGAAGTTATGGGTTCTTGAGGCAAATGTGTTCCTCATGAGGAGAGGCATCTCTGTGCAAAGTTTCATGTCTCTACCACATACGGGGCATGAGATATGCCCATTCAAAGTTTGACAATTCAATGGGTTGCTATAGCGCCCCCCTTTGGCCAATTGATGTAATATTGCTTCATTGGCATCCTCCCATGACCCTCTACCACTGTGCCAAATTTCACATGGATTGACCAAGTCAGTGAGGAGAAAAACGTGGAACACACACACACACACACACACACACAGTTTTCCTCATTATATAGTCTTTATTCATAGGGGTGAAACAGTTCACATAATTTATGGTTCGCTACGTTTTTGAAACAACAGAAAAGGAGAGATACCTGAGATATATAAAAAATGTTTTAAAAGAAATCTTGGAGGAGCTGTACCTAACTGTCTTCTTAGCAGCATATAAAACAAAAACAGACACTTGTAAAATATTAAATGTAGTATTGTAGATATAAACAAATACACACAAAATAAACAATTCTGTTTCTGAAATTATAGAAAATTTTACTTGTTTTTTTAATCTTTGAATTTCTTTTACATTTTTAAATGCATGAAATCTAATGTCATAATTTGAGCTTTTAGGTGTTGTTGTTTTTGTACAAAGCGGTAAATACGGTCTGTCTGAAATGTTCATAAAGCCTGTGTTTTCCACTACAGAGTACAGCCTCATATCTGCGGCTAGAACTGTAACGTTACCAATCCACGCAGTGATTTCTTTTGTTCCGTCTGAATCAGTTGTGATTCGCTGCCTAAATGCTGCGTTGATAACATTAGCATGTAGCGTTTGTGTTGCTCCTTGTTTTCATCTTGTTCCTCTGATTGACGCCTTGCCTACATGTGTTGAGTGTCGTGTAGCAGATGTGACATACCGCTGCTTATTTATCCACCACTGTCTCTCGCCATCGTCCTCATAATTCACAGTGAAACCAACACATCCTCACTCTGACCAGTCACATGTCGTGGTCATGGACTCTCCACGTCCACATATGACGTCCCAGGTACCCTGGGGGTGTTGGTTGTTGATGATGTTTGACGCCAGAAGTCACTGACCAAATGGCAATTTTCAACAACTTTGGAGTGAGACAAAGTTCATGGAAGCAAAGTGGCTGTAAACATCAGAGGAGCTTCTATATCTGGTCTGGTGATGGTGTTGCTAACCATCTTCAGTGAGTTAGCTTAGCATTGTGCCTCCCTGTACCGCTGCTTCAGCTGCTGTGCTGCAGAGTGGACATCAGTGGACTGGGAGGCTGCACTGGTCTTACTGGACTAACTGGACTTTATAATGATATTAGTCTTGTTTGCAGAAGGAACAGACTCTTTGATCTGACTGATGTGTTCAACATTTATTTTTGCAAATCGGACTTTAGTTTGAAAGTTTAAATGCGACATTGTTTACTTCCTGTTTACCTGTTTGCACTCTTCTTCTTTGCTGGTGTCTGACTTTGTGTGTGTGTGTGTGTGTGTGTGGTTGTGTGTGAGCATTACGGCCTCCTGTAGGTCACCTGGAGAAAATCTCCCATGAATAGTTTCTCTCAAAGATGACATCATGATGACATCATATGTCCCTCATCTCTACAGTGATTGGCTCATATGAGAATGAGGAATTCATTAAGTTCAGTTAAATTCCATTAGAAATATTTCATAAACATTAAGTCAAATATTTTAGGATCTGACATCATCAGTATGTCGATGTTTATAAACATCAAACATGTTTAAACAAACGGTAAATTATTGATGAAAGAGCACTGAATGACTTTTAGTCTGAAGATCAATCAAATGCTGCTGGTTTCACTGGATGCTGTGTGTGTGTGTGTGTGTGTGTCCGTGTGTGAATAGAGTCTCTGTGTGTGTGCCTGAGACCTCCTGACCTCACCACAGCACCACTTCCTCTGACACACACACACTGTCAGATCTTACTGTCACTGTGAGGACCTGACTGATGTCATGAATTCACTTACTATCAGTGTGAACTGTCAACACGCTGACAGCACTGTACACACACACACACACACACAAACACACACACACACACACACACACACACAGGGGGCTGGGCTGTTGAGGCCTCCTGCCTCAGCTGGCTCTATAAACCATCTGAAGCAGTGTTTGTGTTGGACTGACAGGAGGCGGAGCCACAGACAGCGTGGCAGGTGTTCACATGATAAAACGTAATGTGTGCGCATTAATTATCAGACTATAACAATAGTTTACATCTATTTAAGGTAAGATAATGTGAGGGCTGCAGTAACCACGACAACCAGTTCATAAACAGTGACATCATCATCTTCATCGTGTCCGTAGAGTTCTGCAGGAATGAGTCCAGAAATGACTCAGCATGTTTGCACCATGGATGTATAAAGAGACCTGGACACAGCGTTACACGTGGGGCTCTGTTCATTCCTATGAAAGTTACTTAGTGGTGCATGAAGCCAAAACAGTTGAGCTGCTGTGGATGGAAGTGCCCTGATGATCTGGGGATTATTGACACTCTTCTGCACCGTGCGGCACATAGAGACAGCGCAGTAGAGACCTATGGCAGCTGAGCATCTTACTTCTGGTTTAGCACTCGGCTAACTGGGATAAAATGACTGAATGTTGCAGCTCCTCCAGACTGTCAAAATGTTATCGGACTGAAGGAAATAAATCCTGATAATGAACCAATTCATTTTGTGCAGGTCATCCATCCACCCATTTTCATTCGCTTATCCAGGGAGGGGTCTCGGGGGCAGCAGGCCGAGCAAAGCACCCCAGACATCCCTCTCCTCAGTGATGCTTTCCAGCTCCTCCTGGAGGACCCTGAGGTGTTCCCAGACCAGATGAGATATATAATCCCTCCAGTGTGTTCTGGGTCTGCCCCGGGGCCTCCTACCAGTGGGACATGCCCAGTGCACCTCTAACACGAGGTGCAACTTATATGCCAATCAAATGGCGCGAATTAAGCAAGTAGTGAGTTTTCATGTCATACGTTTATCCGAGAGAGTCGAAAAATCCGAACTTCAGCAACCAATTTGTGCCGCGATAGCTAATCAGCACTGACATCCTCCAGGGAGTATGACGCACCAGCGGAAGTTCACTTATCGATTTAGAGATTTGATGATGATGATTTGATGATGTGAGTCAACACAAAATATTCTAGTGTTCAACTGATGGGAGTATCGTAATGTGAAAATTTGCATCACATTCGGTGTGACCACGACATAAATATCATAAACGTCTGTTTGTCACAGAGTTTATTTTCTGCAATAATCCAAAATCCAATAAAAAAAATCTCACAGGCATTTTGATGAGGAAACCAGGACGACACTAACGTCCGTGTCGGCCTACAGAAAAACATCCCTGCAGCGCTCTGTGAGCTGACTGGATTTAAAACAGTTTTTCCAGTTTTTATTTTTAGATTTTAAATTCAGAGATAAAGGTAATTGTAAAGAGGTCCTGTCTCGCTCATTTTAGGGGTCATATTTGTGATGTGTTGGTCCACTAGAATAGATTTAATACTTTAATGTTCAATGGTTAATGTTCTTTAGTAGCACCTCTGTCTGAAGCTCTGTTTGAGCTCAGGGCCGCCTCTCGAAAAGCCCAGTCTGCTCGTTCAGTCTGTTAATTGGTGCAGAGTTTGTGTTGGAAACCATTTATAAAGTCAAACGTGTTTGTGTTATTTGTGGATGCTTTGTATCGACGCAAAGGTTCAAACACCTTCAGTCTGAACTAGCCTGACAGATGGACGTGTGTCTGAGTAAACACGTGTTTTTTCCGTGAGGTTCTGAACACGTTGTGTTGAGTTATGAATCAGTGATTAACAGGAAGGAGCTGAGGTGTTGGAGCAGCGGCTGAATTGACGAGGACAGATGAGTGTGAGCAGCTCAGTCTATAGATCATCAATCAATATGCGCGGTGATTGATTAGCTGTAGCTCTGTGCTGCTCATTAACTCATTATATGCTCCAGCAGACAAACAGGAAGTGATTCATTGCCTGACCTCACAGCTGACCTTGAAGGCAGATGGCTGTTGAAGAGTGAATAAAGGAACAATCCGCCCAAAACAATCAGGCTGTGGCAGAGAGACAAAAGATGATGAGGAGAGATCTGGTTTATTATTGGATGTGAAATATTTAAATACGTTAAATCCCTCTGTGAAAACATGAAACACGTGTTGGTATGATCCAGTGTGACTTCTCATTATCTCTCATGTCCATCCAGAATAAACGTCCAGAAATCCACTTTGAAATCAGAGACAAAAGAATAAGCGTCTTAAGTTTCCTTCAGTGTCGCAGTCGTGACGGTCGTCTGTGCGTCGATGAGTTCACTGCAGCTGCTCACATCATTCAGATCACTGTGAAAATGTCTGAATGAAAACTGGACAATAAAGTTTAATGAATCGAACTGAGAACAAAAAAACAAAGATAACATTTGTTCATGATTCTTTGTGTTCAAACTTTTCGGCCATTTGAACAAAATTTAACATATTTTACATTTTTGTTTCTTAAAAATATTCTTTCAGTAAAATGATTAATTTCCTCTTATCAGAGGGTCATTAAAGTAAACACGTGGTCAGTGGTTTCAGAAACTTTGGATTAAACAAAGATTCATGTCACAGCTGAGACGTCTGACGTGCGTCTGTTTCTGTGTTCCTACAGGAAACGTCCTCCTGATGAAGAACGTTCCTCCTCTTCCTCCTCAGAGACGCAGCACGTTGCCTCAACAGGTTGGTGCAACTCTAATCCCGCTTTCTACTGAGTCAGGGCGTCCAGCTGGTTACCATAGCAACCGGTGACCTCAGAGACTGCCGCCACATGGCAACCGATGATGTCATCCATCCTTAACAAGAAATGGTCCGTGAGATTAACTTTGAGTTCAGATGTTTGTGGCTGCAGCGCAGAGGAAGTGCCGCCATGATGGGTCGGAGCAGACAGGTGAACTGATGAACAGGTGAACAGGTGTTGGCGCTGGCAGCAGTCCAGTAGTCAGGTGGTAGTAAATGTACAGTGCAGGTTTCTCCCCTAGAGAAGGAAAGTTTTCAGCTGAAGTTTGTGATCATTATGGGATGCAGCCTCAGTCTGGTCTGTTTCACAGTAACACAAACCACTTCCTGTCCACTGAGACATCACAGAATCTAAGGAGGCGTGACATGTAGCACAACAGTGTCGGCCTCTAGTGTGACATATAACATACGTGTCAGCAGCTCTTTATAAACAATAACAATGACATCACATGTCAATAACAATCATTTAGCATCCCTGTTATATGGCGGCTGATCTCGTCCTCTGCTCGGAGGGTAAGGAGCTCCTGTTAGCTGCTAACTGCTAACAGCCACTGTTCTTCTTATTTGAGTTAGCTGCTAACTGCTAACAGCCGCAGTTCTTCTTCTTTGAGTTAGCTGCTAACTGCTAACAGCCACTGTCCTTCTTCTTTGAGTTAGCTGCTAACTGCTAACAGCCACTGTCCTTCTTCTTTGAGTTAGGTGCTAACTGCTAACAGCTGCTTTTTAAATCTCCCACGGTGTGTTGCACACCTGACACGTCATCAAAACTTTCTACCTGTCCCCTTCATGGTGCCGTCTTGCCAGCTGTCCCTTTTAAACAGACGTAGGCTCTGCCGCCGGCTTAAAGGTGAGACAGCTCTGACATAACAGACAGTGAAATGTGGCTTTTAATTTTTAGGGTTCACAAATTCAGACATAACAGAATTACTACTACTGATACTATTTACTGATTTATTTTTTTCAAAATAAAATATCAGTGCTGATTAAATCTCAGTTTATTTTTTCTGTTTGTTTCTTTTCGCTCTGTATGATGTCATTTTATTTTTTTTCGCTGTCAGCACCAGAAACAAAGGATATGAATAAATAAATGATACAAATAAAGTTCAGTCAGATTTTGTCTGTTGAACACATCGTCTCTCCATCACACACATTTCCCCCCAATTACTGTGCGTCACCTTTCACCTCCTCCCCTCCCCCGCTACTCATTACTCCGCCTGGTTGGTTCGTCTCTCCACAAGCTGCTTTTCACGCTCTCTAAACCTCCCCCCCCCCCCCCCCCCCCCCCCCCCCCCCCCCCCCCCCCCCCCCCCCTTCACTCGTCCTTCATCTTTTGTTTCTGCTGGGAGCCTCACATACCTGATAAACAACACACACACACACACACACACACACACACACACACACACACCACACCCAGAAATATAACAACACTTTTTATTATATTAAATTATATTATATTAATACAATAAATGATATTAATAGAATGAGTGCAGCCCCACCGAGGATTTCTAATGTTTAAAATTCACATTAACTGTATTTTTAAATATATTTTGAAAGCATTTTTCTGAATTTCCACCTGAATTTAAAGATTTGTCAGCTACACTGTTTTTTTAAAGTCGTTTTTTAAACTCTGTGCAGAAAAAGAGTTAAAACCCTTCAATTATTCACAGTTTTTAAATGAATGTGTTTTAATCACAGCATTATTAATAGGTCAGACTTTACTCGAGGAGCTCAAGACCTCTAATAAAGAACAGAGATGGGAACGTTCTTCAGGACGGACCGACAGGAAACAGATGAACAACAGTAACATTAATCTCTGGGTCGTTATAGTTTAAATCAGCGTTGCAGTTTATTTTCAGTCCAAACTGATCCAAAACAGACGTTTGTAACAACACCAGCGCAGATCAGTCGGATACTTCTGTACTAATACTTGCTGTTTTCAGTGCGTTCACACTGAGAAGTATGGTGATAGCTCCTTTTGCACAGGCAGCAGGACGGCATCATGAGAGGCATGGGTGTGACACGTGTTATGCAAACCGCTGAGTTTTTCTACTGTGCATATGACAACAAACCTCTTGAATCTTGAATGTGTGGGACCTGCTGCAGGAGATTGAAAAAGCAGCAGTTAGCAGCTAACTCAAACAATGAGGTCCAGGAGCTCCTTATCCTCCGGGCAGAGGACGAGATCAGCCGCCATATAACAGGGACGCTAAATGTTTGTTGTTAACACGTTCTTTACGAATTGCTGAACTCTTCAAAACAACGTTGAACTATCCTATAACATCTGGAAAATAAAATCTATAACTTAAACTGTGTTTAATACAATGTTCTCAACGAGGCAGCCCACAGGCCCGACCCCCAAACCAGAACATTCTGCTCCAGGCAGCTATGCTAAGCTAGCTCGTATCAAGTTAGTTAGTAACACCATTACCAGACCAGAAATGGAAGATTTTCTTCAGGGGCTTTTGTTTGGAGCCACTTTGGTTTCTCTGTGAATTATGCGAGTGATGGTTAGGGAGAGAGTGGTGATAAAAACACACCAAGCTGAACAACAAGCTGCCGCACAGCTGCAGACAGAGCAGTTAACCCAGTAACACAGTAACATACATGACCTCCGGGCCGAAGCAAGAGCCGCTACGCAGCCACGGAGCTAAGCCAGTCGCACACGCAGTCACGGCACACGTAACTCCCCGAACCAGGGCACAAGCTGCTTGGCTACAGCCTCTCTTTCAGCAGCTAACAGGAGCTAACATCAGTGAGTGGTAACTGGGAGCCGCTGTAGCTAATGTGCTAAAAAGTTAGCGTTCCAGAGAAATCCACTATTTGCTTTGCTATGGAAGCTAACGTTAGCTAATGTGCTAAAAGTAAGCGTTCCAGAGAAATCCACTATTTGTTTTGCTATGGAAGCTAACGTTAGCTAATGTGCTAAAAGTAAGCGTTCCAGAGAAATCCACTATTTGTTTTGCTATGGAAGCTAACGTTAGCTAATGTGCTAAAAAGTTAGCGTTCCAGAGAAATCCACTATTTGCTTTGCTATGGAAGCTAACGTTAGCTAATGTGCTAAAAGTAAGCGTTCCAGAGAAATCCACTATTTGTTTTGCTATGGAAGCTAACGTTAGCTAATGTGCTAAAAGTAAGCGTTCCAGAGAAATCCACTATTTGTTTTGCTATGGAAGCTAACGTTAGCTAATGTGCTAAAAAGTTAGCGTTCCAGAGAAATCCACTATTTGCTTTGCTATGGAAGCTAACGTTAGCTAATGTGCTAAAAGTAAGCGTTCCAGAGAAATCCACTATTTGTTTTGCTATGGAAGCTAACGTTAGCTAATGTGCTAAAAGTAAGCGTTCCAGAGAAATCCACTATTTGTTTTGCTATGGAAGCTAACGTTAGCTAATGTGCTAAAAAGTTAGCGTTCCAGAGAAATCCACTATTTGCTTTGCTATGGAAGCTAACGTTAGCTAATGTGCTAAAAGTAAGCGTTCCAGAGAAATCCACTATTTGTTTTGCTATGGAAGCTAACGTTAGCTAATGTGCTAAAAGTAAGCGTTCCAGAGAAATCCACTATTTGTTTTGCTATGGAAGCTAACGTTAGCTAATGTGCTAAAAA